TTGGTGGTTTTATATAGAAGAAATGATATGGTGCTGAAAACAATTCCATGTTTTGCATAATCATAATGATTGAGAGACAACCAAAGCCTAAGACTAACATTAGTATCTCATAATTCTAAATAAAATGGCATATAACAGTGACAATGAATGATATTTTTCAGGTTTCAGCATGTAAATATATTGTTTCTACATACCTCTTTATCTATTTCTGGTTGACCATCAAACCGCAGAAGAACAGGTAGGATATATGATTCATCACTCTAGAAGCAACAAAAAAGTTTTGAGAAGAAATGGGTCAAACAACATATATTGAACAGAAAAGGCAAAGACATTGATGTACGGTAAGAATCAAATGTTAAAAAAGCATTTGAAGAACTGAGATTTACAAATTTAGTTAGTGATTCAAGTTATCAAACGGTTCCTTAAAGAATTAGAAATAACTTCTTTGCTGATAAAAAAATAATTCCATAAAGAGGAAAGATACAGAAACACCAGAATCCAAACTAGTCATGAAGCTTTTAAATAATTAAAAAAAAATCTCCAAGATGCATGAAAATGGACTAGCTTACAATGAAGTATGAGTTTGATCACAAGAATTATGTACGAAAGAAGTAAGGAACTATCAAGTATTTGATTAGAAGCAGAAAACATTGAAGCAAATAAAAAGATTATCCTTTTTGCCTTTCTTTTACTGCCATTATGGCTATCGCCTAAGGAATGGTGAAAGAGATTCAATTAACCCTGGTTTATTATGACACAACCTGGGAAAATGTTTTAGAAAACCAATTTGATCTCACATTTAAGAACCAAGGTTAGGTATCAAAGGCAGAAGAAACCAGAGAAATGAAGAGATCAAGTGCTAGGATTACAACAATCATAATAGAAAAATGGGTTTTCCTATGCTGTGCCCTAAGAGCATAGGCTAAGGTTATAATTAATACACCTTTTAGCCTTTAATTTACATAGAAAAATGTAAAAGCTGATATTAATTTCAGTACCAACGCCACTTGTATGATTTTAATTGGATAGTTGATAAATTAAAGGTCAACTTTTAGTTTTCCAATACAAATTAAATGCTAAAAAGTGTATCAATTGCACCCTTAAGGGCACAGGTTAGAAAAACCCTAGAAAAATATCCAAGACACTCTATTTAATTGGTTTACTATTTCTTTTACAGGTGTTGTGAAAAAGGGAGCAATTCTATCTCTTTCACTGACTTAGAGAAAAGGCAGGTAATTCTTAGTGCAGGTCCAATTAACAAATATAACTGTGTGAGGTTTTGAAGCAAATACTAGCTGTAAGTTTGAGCAAATTGACATAATTGATTACATAACATGCTTTACCAAAAAATTGCTTTCTAACAATTGATTACATTAACATTAATACGTAACCATACCAAGGCATCATTTTTGGAGTCTAAGTCAAGATATGGAGCAAGTTCTTCTGCTGTGACAACACCACCATTTGATGCTATATACTGCCCAATCTGCAAATGCATTAAAAAGAAGCATGACCAAATATTAATATTAATATGCCAAAATATTTTCTCCAACTAAATATATAGAACTGCAACTGATAAGATGTTATTTGAAATTGCAACCAACACATACTTAGAAAAGGTTAAAAGCACAATGAGAAGAGGAAAACTCCTAGAATGATTCTCTTGTTGGCCAGAAAAGGATACAATTCCCAACTCATTGACTTTTCACTAATTCAAATAAAAGATGCTACTACCAATTATAACCCTCAAGTAATAAATTCTTTCAAAACCACTCACTTTAGAAACAACATGAAACTACCTACTATTCTTCATCTACAACTATCTGACTCTACAAAAATCATGACCAAGGGTTATTTGGCCACCAGTCAAGCCAAGCCAGCACCTAAGCCAACTGAGACCTGCATGTTTAGCTCTCTTACTAATTTGAACTAGTTTACCAATAGCAAGCATGGTATGCATGCCAAGCAATAGGCATGGACTTTGGTGCTCAAGTATTACCAGCTTCCACCTTTCTTCTTCGATTCCTTGATTTGGATCACCATCACCAAATACAAATGAGAAAACCTAGAGCAGGATAAAAAATGTGCATGAAATTAAAAATTTACCTTCTGAAAAAGGAAATAACTAGATGAAAATCAGAAAAGTCTCATCATTTTTATTTTCTTGTATTACATACAGATTCAATAAAGTTCATCTTGCCATCATCTTCTGTCTGTACACGTCGTCTCCTATAGTAATATGGATCCCAATACCTTAAACAAACCAAAAAGGAAAAAAGAGATGGTAGAACCGTTATTGATATTTGATCATCAGAAATTAAATTGGAGAGCGAAACTTCTAGAGGAATATTGGAGATTCTAGATCAAAAGATATAACAGCATAAGTTCAAGTACTTAGAGGGGCCACTTTCAGCTGAAAAGCTAAAGAATAAGAATCTTATCTGAAGTTAACTAGGCAATGACCCTTGCACATGGTTTTGAAATTAACTAAAGCATGGAAAAAATGCATTCATGAAGTGTTACATAAACATGGCCGAGACATACTCATGAAAAATTTATGTTTCTGTACACAAGAGTGATAACAATTATGAAATTAACCTGCAACCTGAGTTAGTTGCTAACTGATGACTAATCTGAGTGACTTTTAAACTGATAGGAACTCCATAAAAGCCTGCCTTTTGACTGTTCCTAAACAATCCAATTTGAGACAATTGCAGGAAATTCTAACAGTCTAGAAAATATTACCAAAACAAATCAGTTGGACTGAGGTAGAAATTAAATCCTGAATTATATGATCTGCCTCCACGTCTTCCACGACTGTCTTCATCACTGTTACCATGAATAATAATGTCAACAACCTTGACAACAACAACAGTCATTTAGTTTAACAATGACAAATGGTATAGAATGATGTTAAAGTAGTAGTTACTGATACCTTCTACTTGAGAGAAGAACAATAATTGTGGTATAAACAAGAACAATTGATGCAATGAGTGCTGTCCCAAAGGAAACTCTTATTAAATACTCAGCTGCAGCCTGCCAATCATAAAAACATCACATTAATTGTTTCATACAGATTGTACAACACAAAACATTTTCTTTTTTCTTGAGTCAAAGGCATAAATGCAATGAAGATCAATACCTTTGTCTTATCAACCAAAGGTTCAATTCTTATTTTAAATGACTTAGCAGCAAGCTTAGCACGATAATCCTTTGGAAAAACATAGAGGACATCACCTTCGTCCGAAACCTGTTAAACCCATCTTGAAAAGAATTGCAAATATGAAATCAAGAATTTCAAAGAGCCAGAAATAGAAGTAGTAATACCAGGACAAATTTTAATTCAGATCCTTAAGAAGGAGAAAAAACAGCATACAAAAAAATTGATTTGTAGTTTCACTACAACATTGAACATAAATCTGAATAATATAGTTAAACAAACAACACCAATCATGCATCAATGTTTCCATATTCAAAGGTACACTTCTATCTCAGTCATTTAGTACTCCTTTTGCAGTCAAATGCAAGTCTGCTATCTAGCTAATGTGCCCTACACAGGCAATGTCCTTCAAAGTCCAAATGACCCAAAGTCCAATATGGGCACAACAACAACCAACAAAGCCTAACAATGGCCACCCGAGGCTATGAAGGAAAGACCCCATGGAATCAAAACAATAACTGGCTGGCTTAACATTTAAAAGACAAATGAGCCCAAAATATGGCAAACAATATCTAAAATTTTACAAGCTTAGTTTTTAGCTTCAACAACAATAATATGTACCTGAACTACTATTCCAAGTGAGAAAATCGAAACACAAACATGGTCATCCAAGTACATAACATACAAGGTTATAGAATTAAGCAGCAAAGCATTTGGAACAAGGTGCTGTATTCATCTCCAATCAAACATTAATTTGGGTAAAAATTGTATTGTTTTATTTATTTAAATTAGCGTCAAGTCAATGAGAACTCAAAACTCAGTCCCATCTCAAATAGAATACCTCCAAGAAGCCATCGGTATCCGCAGCAAGGGCTTGAAGCGCCTTTTGAGCTTCATTCAGTTTGAGACCAGCCTTGCTGGCTACGTCCCCGATGGTGACCCTCCCGCTACACGAATCAACGGCCTCCATCGTTCTCTTCCTCACATCAGACGGCAGCTTATCGCTCTCCACTGCACCTCCAGGCCTAATCGCACTGCCCACATCAATGCTCGCCCTTATAATCGAAAACGAAACCCTAGACTTGGGAAATTTCACGGAGTTCCTCGGAAAAATGGTCGATTCCAGAGCTTCAATTCTGGGAAAAGGTCTGAGAAAAGGGGGCGATTTCAGAGCGAGGGGTCGGGACTTGAGGGACATGGTAAGGAAGGCAGAAAACGAGGCCATTTTGTTTTTCTTAATTCAAGAGAATTTAACAGTTCCAGAAGAGTTCCGCCATTGAAGAGTTTTGCTTTTGAGTGGCTCGTATATCGTCTCAGGGGAAGAGGTAAGGAAGCGGGACGATGATGACGACGACGTCGAACTGATTTACCGTTTTACCCTCAACACAAATTAATTTTAGTGAGAAATACTAGAAAAATAAACCCTCTCCTTTCCTCCTCTGGGTGATTTGAATTTTCAGATTTTTAATTTAGAGTTTGTCAATAATTATTAAATATTTTTTAATATATAATTTAATGATTAAAAAGAGAAGAATTACTATACAACCGATCATTGATGTACAAAAAAAATCATTTAATGGTAATATTCCATAAAAGCAATAGATCCAAAATTTGAAACATATATTAAAAAAAATAAGAGAGTTGTCTATTTTGTAAAACTCAAAAATAAAAATAAAAAGAAAATAAATTAAAGTTTTAAACAATAACCTTGTGCGCTTAAAATAATGAATTCTAAAAGAAAAATGATACAATTTTGTTTTATTTTACTATAGCACTCTATTACAATAGAGTAGTTTTATTGTGTGTTTTCTCTTAATTTTGTAAAAAATTCAGCTAACAAACATTAGTTGGCCAAAACAACCTAATAAACATTAATTTCTAACAGTTATGCTATAATTTTTTTATTATAAAAAATTAAAAAAAAAAAGTATATTAATAGCCTTATAAATAACTCAAACTTGAATAATTTTGTACATGGTTGTTTAAAATTTCTAACTACACAAAATATATACATATATATTTTTTACAAATAGATACACAAATAACAGTATGTATATTTTGTGTGCTCAATAATTGTCTACAGAAACATAAATGATAATTAAGAGACATTCCATAGAAATATTAACATAAAAGGTTAATTCAACTTATTCCTTTTATTTGCACTCTTTGATTGTGTGCTATGGAGAAGTATTACAACTCTGAAAGTATCTCATTAACACTAGAGGGTTCCCTTTTGTTCAAGAGAGGTATAGCATGTAGCATGAGTGACAAAAGTAAAGGTTTACATTTCCATAACAAGAAGAGAGTAAATGGTGGGTAAAAAGATTTTGTCATTATTATTGTACTTTAATTTACTCCAACATCTCTTTGAGATATTAAGTTTTGGAATTAAAATTTACTCTCTTTTTTTTTTTTTTACCAACAGAATGAAAAATTAATTAAAAGTATCCACATTAACTTAAACAGTTTAGAACTTAAGCATTATGAATATATGTTTGTTTGCTAAAATTTTGTATGGAAAAATCATGAAAAAACAAACAAATCAAAAAGTCATGCATAACAAAGAGAAGATTATTCATATTCATGTGCAGGTAGCTTGTTTTAGAAATTTAAAGTGCTCATATTTTTCATGTTGCCACCTAAAGAGATATTACCTTCTTCTTTTTTTTTTAATTTTTCTTCAGTAAAGAGAATTTGCATGAATCTAAAGTAAATAAACAATTAAGTAGTGCCATTATAAATTCTTTTAAGATGCATGATTACTTAACAGTATTTATACTTAACTTAAACTTAGAATGTTTTATTTTTAATAAAAGAAATTATCATTAAATTATGTCAATAGTTCGACAAATATGTATAATAAAAGAAAGATGCAAAATAAGCAACAAATTAACATTTAGGATGTTATAGCAAAAATAAAATATAAAATCTTTAGGAGGTTGCTCTTTTGAAAAAAAATAAAATAAAATAAAATAACACATTTTAGTCTGAGTAATTTTTTTTTCCCTTTTCTTGTAATCTTGTAAAAAGATTTCCCTTTTCTTGGCTAGGCTAAATTGTTGATATGGTTTTTTTTTTTTTTAATAAAATTTAATTTTAGTTAAGATCCGTGTTGATTGAGTGTTGATTGAGTTCTGATAAACTTTTTTTCCCCCCTGTTTACTTTGAGAACTGCAGATGGTTGGATTGGAATTCATCTGTATTTAGTTCTGGAAACAACATCTGATCAAATTCAATTTTGTTGTTTGGTGCTTTATTTGATTTGGTATGGAAGACCTTCATGTTGATGTTATAGGGAACATACTGTCTCACCTAAGGGCTGCAAGGGATGTAGTTGTTGCTTCTGCTACTTGCAAGAAATGGAGAGAGGCTTTCCAACATCACCTTTCGTCTCTCACTTTCCATGATTTGGATTTTTCTGGTTTCACGACCAATGAATTGGAAAGTATCATCACTCAGACAATTCAGCAAACCAAGGGGCTACAACGTTTGAAATTCTTCTTGAGTGATGTTGATGATGTCTTCTGTGCTGACCACGTGCTTGTTTGGCTTATGCATGCTAGAGATACCTTGCGTGAACTGTATCTCCTTGTTCGTATAGATCCGCGTATCAATATTCTTGAGAAATGTCCACGGCAATAGCTGGAAGTGTTGCATTTGGCTCATGTTTCTATTTCAGGTGCTGCAGGTAGTTGTCAGAAATTTCCTTGCTTGAAGACACTTCGGCTGGAGGACGTTTCTGCCAGGGGAAGGGATTTTTCCTTTCTTGTCTCTTTATTTCCAAAGATTGAGAACTTGACTCTTGTGAATCTGGATGTATATCCAGAGGCAATCATTTCACTAATCAGCGTTTCATTAAAGAGTATAGATGTTGTAGAAATGGCTTTAATCAAGTTTATACTGGAGGCTGATAGTCTTGGGTATCTGCACTTGCAAAGGTGTAATTTTGAGCATTTTGAGCATTTTAAGCTTATTGGAAAAGGGACCTTGAAGGTTCTAAATATTGATGTTGCCAGGATCGCTTATGTTGACATCCAGGACAACATGGAGAATCTGGAGATTGTGGATGTTAATGAATCCTCAATTAAAGTGCCCAAGCTCTATAATATGATCTCAAAATTGTCAAACCTGAGAAGGCTTCGGCTTCAGCGTGTAAATTTTGATAATGTGGATGAGGTTATTGACTTGGAGAGTATATCTGCTACTTTCCCTCAGTTAACCCGGCAATTCTTGTACCCTGATGTGGAGGATTAGTTTGCAGGGGTCATCTCATTTGCAGAATGTGGCTGTGTTGGAACTTGATCTTGGAAGTTATTATGGCTTCTCAGATTTGGTTGCAGGAATCATGGAAAGATGCCCCAACTTGAAGAAAATAGTCATTCACAGGTTTTGTTGTGAGGAGAATATCTCTGAAGATCTTGAGCATTTAGCTGAGTTTTCATTATCCATTGTTCAGATGGCTAGAAAACATTTGCAGGTAGAATTTCAATTTAAATATGAATAGCTTTTCTTAATCAATATGAACTAGCATTTTTTTATCTTTTTTGTTATCAATAAGGGGTGTGTATGGGCAATCTTCAGGATCATCCATCTTTTTGTACAGGAATTGATGTTTCCCATTGTTTTTGTAGTCATACTTCTTTGTCTATTGGGAGAATCTTGTAAGAATTTATTTTTCTTGCAATATATATTTGTTACTTTGAGGAAACATGAATTTGCTATATTATTTCTTTGTCACCCAAGCTTCGAAACTTAGAACCATGGTAGTTTTTATTTGTAACCAGAAAAATCACACACAAGCAAGTTGCAGGTTTTAGCACCTTGAATATGTTCAAATTGCTTGGTCCAAGACAAATCAGCTAGAAAAGCAGAATAGAGAATGATCACCGGTGGAAACACAGATGTTACAGTAGGATTAAAATGATGATATACAGAATGTATCCTTTGGTAGCACCAAGAACTGAGGTTGACCTCTGGCTTAGCTTCAACCTTAATTACCATGAACTCTTTGGAAGGTGTCAGCATGATATTATTCACTGCACCAACCCTTTTCTTTCAACTAACCTTACCAGTTACCACACACAATAAGTACATTAACCTTTCATGACAACTGCGAGGTCCAGGGCTACTTGGAAGGGTGTGGTAGTAATGAAGAGATGCTGCATGGAATGTCTTGAGTTATGAACTAACCACTCCAAGCACAATAACTGCATGAAAAATAAGGAAGTAGTGAAACATCATCTACTTCACTTGCATGCGGAGAGGATTGTATAGCGGTGGGTGCCAACTGCCAAAATTAATACAAATTTGCATTTTTTTTATGTAAATTAGATGATAATTTAGCATCTAGTAACTTCTATTGTAGCCTAACATTATTAATGTGAAATGCGATTATTGTAATTCTATTTGTTAAATTGATTTTTAAAATAAAGAATCATTACACAATAACAGATTTAAAAAAAATCTTAATACCACTCTTGTAGTAATGTTAGGAATAGCAAATTAGCAATTCACAATGTAATACACTTCTTCCATTGTCCTTTTCTAATTGACTGAATCCCTTAGGGTCTTCCTAGTTGGTAGGGAGACGTTTTACTCATATAAAAGGGTCTTTTACTTTCCATGCAACAGAGTGTTTAGAATCCAGAAAACTAAAAAATAATTTCTTCTTGTTCTGCATTGGCTAACCCTTGTGGCAAACTTACAATGCATTCTGATTATGGCATTTTATTTTACTCCAATATCTTCATTGTGAAATTGAGTATAAAATTTATTTATTTTGATAACAAAAAGAACAAAATAAATTAAACCTATAAGCATCAAGATCAGCAATTTAGAACCTAGTTCAAGCAATATGAATTCATGCTTGTTGGCTAAACTTTTGTAAGAAAAAATCATGTAAAACATGAGAAGCAAAAAGTCATGCAAAAACAAAATAATGTTATTCAAGTTCATGTAACTAGAGTTTGCTTTAAAATCTTAGTTTACGCATGAAATTGTTTTGTCACGAAGCAATTCTCATCTAATTCTTGCAAGATGTCTTCTTACTTAACCATCACGTGTTTTTTTGTTTTTCTTTTCTTTTCTTTTTTTTAATCTAATAAATTTTAATCAAATGATAAATAATTTATTGAAAAAGTGTTTTATAAGTCAAATTGCACAATAAAAATA